TCCCCTCCCCTTCCCTCCCCCTTTCCTCCCTTTCCCTCCCCTTCCCTTTCCCTCCTCTTCCCACCTCCCTCCCCCCCTCCCCTCCCTCCCCACCCCACCCCCCCCACCCCCCACCAATCCCTTATCCCCGATCCCATAAGCTCTTCAGTCCTATCCCGTTTTCTAAAGCCCATGTCCTTGGCGTAGTAATATGGTTATACGTCATACTAAGTCAACAAGCCTACGGAAGCTACAGGCTATTTCCGCGGCAGGAGTCTGTGTGTTCCGCGTCTCTTATGCGTTGCTGTTGGCGAACTTTTTTTTTTTTTCTAATGGGTGTAGTGGGGATGGATTTAATTAAATTGGTTGATGGTGATGGTGATGATGATGATGATGATGGTGTTGGTAATGCTGGGTATGATAATGTTATGATTGTGGGAAGGGTGATGGTAGTAATGGTGATGGTGGTGGTGATGGTGATGATGATGATGATAATGATGATGGTGTGATGATGATAATGATGATGATGATGATGATGGTGTTGGTAATGCTGGGTATGATAATGATCGTGAGGATGTTTGTTATGATTATGGGAAGGGTGATGGTAGTAATGGTGATGGTGGTGGTGATGGTGATGATGATGATGATGATGGTGATGTTGATGATGATGATGCTGATGATGAAGATGATAATGATGATGATGATGGTGATGATGATGATGATGGTAATAATGATGGTGGTGATGATGATGATGATAATGGTGTTGGTAATGGTGGGTGATTGTGTGAGGATGATTGTTATGATTATGGGAAGGGTGATGATAGTAATGATGATGGTGGTGATGATGGTGGTGGTGGTGATGATGATGGTGGTGGTGATGATAATGATGGTGATGATGATGATGATGATGGTGGTGGTGGTGATGATGATGATGGTGATGATAATGATGATGGTGGTGATGATGATAATGATGATGGTGGTGGTGATGATGATGGTGGTGATGATAATGATGGTGGTGGTGGTGATGATGGTGGTGGTGATGATAATGATGATGATGGTGGTGATGATGGTGGTGGTGGTGGTGATGATGATGATGGTGGTGATGATGGTGGTGGTGGTGATGATGATGGTGGTGATGATAATGATGATGGTGGTGGTGATGATAATGATGATGATGGTGGTGATGATGGTGGTGGTGGTGATGATGATGGTGATGTTCGATTATAATGATAATCGTGAGGGTGATAGTCATGATTAGAGGAAGGTGGTGATGATGATAGTGATAATGGTGATGCCACAATGATTACGCATATATGTATATCTACTGTAAATTGATACCGTACGCGTGCATGCTTGCGTACGCGTATAATATATATATTGAGTACGCTTGAACAAGTAAGATGTATGTATGTGCGTATGTGTGAGTGCAGTATTTGCAAACACTTACCTGGCCTCATAGTTAAAAATAATAGTAATAAATGAATAAATAAATAAATAAAACTGGATATTCTTGGGTACTGCCTTACGTAAAAATTCTCTTCAGATTTCTTATGTTGAACTCCAAGACGAAATTTCAAAGCAGAAGATTTTACTGAGGGACATCTGTGATATGTGTAGTGCTTATTGAAGTCTCTCTCAGTCTCTGTCTCTGTCTTTGTCTGTCTGTCTGTCTCTGTCTGTCTGTCTGTCTCTGTCTCTCTCTCTGTCTGTCTCTCTCTCTCTCTCTCTCTCTCTCTCTCTCTCTCTCTCTCTCTCTCTCTCTCTCTCTCTCTCTCTCTCTGTTTCTCTCTCTGTTTCTCTCTCTCTCTCTCTCTCTCTCTCTCTCTCTCTCTCTCTCTCTCTCTCTCTCTCTCTCTCTTTCTCTCTTTCTCTCTTTCTCTCTCTCTCTCTTTCTCTTTTTCTCTCTCTCCCTTTCTCTCTCTCTCCCTTTCTCTCTCTCTCTCTGTTTCTCTATCTATCTATCTATCTATCTATCTATCTATCTATCTATCTCTATCTATCTATCTATCTATCTATCTATCTATCTATCTATCTATCTATCTATATATATATTAAAATAAACAAGATAGGTAAAGGAATAAACAAAACAAACCAATAGATAGATGAAAAGGGAAAAGATTAACAAGGACAATATACAGATAAAAGAAAAGAAAATCTTATCATAGAAGGTAAAAGAGGAAAGACAGAAGACAGATAAACGAGTAAAAGTCAATAATTAAGTAAATCTTTGAGGTCCCACCGAGACTCTCTCAAAATACAGACAAAAGAAAAGAAAATCTTAACAAAGAAGGCAAAAGAGGGAAGAAAGAAGACAGATAAACGAGTAAAAATCAATAAACAAGTAATCTTTAAGGTCCCACCGAGACTCGAACTCGGATTCTTGGATTCAGAGTCCAAAGTGCTCACCATTACACCATGGGACCGCCTTCAAGGTCTTGGGAAACAGCCGTATTAAGAGAGAAATCATTATTATTGTTATTATTATTATTATTATCATTATTTTGTTGTTGTTGTTGTTCTTCTTATTATTATTATAATTATCATTATTATTATTATTGTTTTTGTTGTTGTTCTTCTTATTATGATTATCATT